ATCAGGATAGCGCAAGGAGATAATGGAAGTGTATGCGTGTTTCGGAGACACAACATGCATCTAAATTGAAAGTTACGAAGGTTCTAGTTAAGGCAGCTTGTTGACCGATCCGGTAGTGTGCGGACATTGAGTGCAACCATATGAAAAGGGAACTTCGACTTCAAAAATCCTGTAACTTCTTAATGTTTGGACTTGTTGGTAAAACGCTGAGTGATATCCGATGGGTCTTGCGAACAGCAGGCGTTTGAGATTATTCGGGATTGAGAGGAAGAACTAGACAGATGGGAAGGAGGTTTTTCCAAATGGGTGCCTAAGACTTTAGGGCACGATATACTTCGCGGTAGCCTACACCGACGAAGGAATTTTCCTTTGGGAACCCTAACCGGAGCCTTTGACTCAAAAGTCTGACCCACAAGGCAATGGGGCGGAAATCCAATGCGGGAGCGTGAACGAAGCACCTCTGTGGGAGCTTCTGGAGACCTGTCACGCAAGGCCATTGAATTTCGATTAGCTGTGTTGTTCGCTGGTGCGTTGATTATCGGTCCGCTGTTCGGGATCGGCCCTTAGCCTCATGCACACAATGAGACAAGCGGAACGCGGACGGGGCAGCGCCTTAGTGGCTGGGGGCCGCCCAGCTTGGGCAGGCGGTAGCTGTCCAATGAAGTGCGAAGACTTCTCCCACCGTCGAGAGGAAGCCCCAGGTACCCCGCTCCTACGTCCATCTAGCGGGGGGTTTTGACCGGTAAACTGCCCCTCACCGTGTTTATTTACTGGAGTGACCTCTTCAGGGGCGGGTGTNTTGGTTGGGGGCCGCCCTGGTTGGGCGGGCAGTAGCTGTTCACTGAAGTGCGAAGACTTCTCCCACCGTCGAGAGGAAGCCCCAGGTACCCCGCTCCAATGCCCATCTAGCGGGGTTTTTTGATCGGTAAACTGCCCCTCACCGTGTTTATTTACTGGAGTGACCTCTTCAGGGGCGGGTGTGGATAGAAGAAGGAAGCCAGGAGTTGCCCAAGCAGCTGGCCTTGTGGGACTGATCTTCGTCTGGCCTCTACCGGTTGACCTTTCAGGCATGATTGGATTTGCAGCTGTGGGGAGCCATCCTGTTTGGCTCGCAAGGTCATGGAGGCATGCAAACCATCACATCACGTCAAGGTGCAGTCTCGTCGTGATGATATCTGTATACGGTCGAAACCAATGATCGCACCTCAAATTTAAAATCTTATCCAGCCCAGCACCTTTTTGGAACTAACTGGGAGAAACATCGTGTTTGCACAGGCGATAGTTGTAATATTGAGAGCACATTTATGATCAAATAAATCCACAAAGAAACGAAGAGTGAATGGAAAAGTAGATAAAAAGGTTGTCGAATTTAACTTATTCAAATCAAACACTTCGATTAAGGAAACAGTACTGCTTTGCAATTCACCTAGTGAACCTTTCCAAATGTTTTCTATGGCGTTTGGTGGAGGTGAAGTTTGCTGCAAAAGACGTTCAAATTTTTACACAACTAGAATTGTGTATACGCAATTGCGTACAAGGAATCCGGTGGTACATGAGAAAAACATTCAACACATTCCTCATTACATTTCTAGGATGTCAGAACAACCAAAACCAACGTTTCCATAACCAGGCACAAGGTTACGAAAGTGCAGTGAGCGAACAAACAATTGTACTTCAGCAAGGTGCACATATACACACTGAAGTGGGAAAACTACTTTAATCTATAGAAGAATAAAATAAAAATGGATGCATAAGTATTTGCAACATGCAATTAACAATTCTCAAGTTATTTGATTAACCAAAAATCCAGAGAGGCGGAAAATGAATGGCTATCAAAACGGAACCATTTCCGTTTTACCAATTAATATTGAAAATTTCTAGTTGTCACAGTACAAATATTATGTAGAAGTTATAACAATTCTTATTCAGTATCTAAACACGAGTTACTGAGGGCAATTGTAGTTAAATTACGAAAATTACAAAAAGTAATGGAAATTACGAGTGTCCTAGCACGCGTTGCACACGATACGTAACGGGTACAATCGAGTGCACACTCTGGGGGAAATAGGGTGCGACCAAATTCCTCCAGGATGAAGTGTGGAACTGGTCGGGCGATGGAAATGAATGATGAAAGCAGAGCTTAACATGATCATATGGTCGGTATTGGGCGAAACAGGAAGAGTCAAGGACGGAGAGTATATCTCTAGTGAAAACGGTACATACAAAACTGAACTTGTGTTCCTGCACGTTTACAGCAGTGTAAAAGAAAAAAGCGATTAAATTTCGAAATGGACAATACAAGAATATCTCCACGTCCCGATAAAAATGCAATCCACTATGCAATGAACGTGCTTAAGGTTGTCATAAAAACCGCTAAGCCCACTGATCCTGACAATAGACCCATTGGAAATCTGCCTTTGATGAGATTCGCCAAAATGTATTCGGTACATTCAGGGAAAATGTACGTGATCCTTATGATTGTGGATTGTGTAGCATTCCGAAAGGGGACAGACGCGAAAAGCCGTAGGGGGGAGAGGTAGATATCCAGGAAAAAAAATGTTACCGACACTTGCAGGTGACTAAACTAAATCCCATCATTTATTGCGACTTTTATTATCTGCGACGATTATATTGAGGAGTCCGCCAAGTCCTCTCGGTCAAAACTGATCCTTTGGTGACGCAAAGACGAGCGGAGAAACAGTTTTGTTTTACCGCTATCAGTTGGGTTCCAACAAGGGTTTTGTCCTCAACTGCCGGTCTCATCCGCAGGTGATAATCCGTAAGCACAAAGTATTCCTACCAACCTGTCGCGCAGCTGGCCATGTTTCTGATTTTTTAAGCTATTAAACTGTGCGGCACATTCCATGGGTGCAAAACGAACTGGACCAATCTGGCTGTTGGTGCATGTGACAAAACTCTGATGCGAAATATAGTGGCAGCGCTTTAACCCAACTAACTTTCGATCACTGTGAAACAACGCCAGATGCATTGGTCTGGTCTGATGGTGAGAGGGTCAATATAGTGTAAACGAGATAGTTATTCAGGAAAAAAACTCCTGCGTTGAGATATTTGGCTGTTTTTCTTTTTCGTGTGAGCATCATCTAAGGGATGGTTACATGATCAAAAAGCCTGTTGAAGTTTGATGTGAACCGTAACCTCAGGCCTAAGACTGCACCTGACTGCGTTGTTCGATTCACTTTCGAACCCACATAAACGTTAGGTGGCGTTAAGGATTTTCAGAACCCTACTGACCAATTCAAGCTATTGACAGGGACTTAGATCGCATGATCCCATGACATAGCATTTCCACGGGACCATATATTCACCCCGACAGAAGAGTATGTGAACAAGCTCATTGTCGGTTTCAATCATGCAAACAGACAGACGAATATGAATATGATCGAGCGGTATATGTGATCAAACTGGCGTTTGCAATCAATTTTCGAAAACTCCGCGTTGCCACCTGATTTTCCTACTTACTCATTGGCAGTCTTCTGTTGACTGTGAATCTTCCTAAATATGAATTGCACGATGATCGTAGATAGAAGTGAAAATATCACTATAATTATTATACACATTGAGCCACCGGCTAAAATTGAAAGCTGACTCATCCACGATTGATCGAGCTATTCTAACTCCAAATAAAACGTCTAAACTTTGTTACAATAATACCTACCAAGTATTTAGAGAACTGTTTGTGAACAGATGAGCGAAGGAAATTTGATTACGATCACAAATTAGGGTGGAACGGTATGTATATGGGTACCTATCACCGATTCGGCCAGATAACTTATGTCTATAGAGAGAAAGAGACCGTGTTTAGGCTGTAAGGCATGTTTGGATTGTTCTTGGTAAAAATCATGAAAAACTTCGTAGAAGAGTGAAAACTGCATACGAACCTGCTCAATGTCCTGAATCGGAAATCTCGTGTTCACTTCTTTTTTGATAATTTAGGACTAATTTCAATTCCTACACATCATTCTTCAACTGAATGCAAAGCACAAAAATCTTCAGAGAACTCGGAACAAAAACGGAATAGATTTAGGAAGGAAACGCTTCATAAACGACGGTTTTGCAAAAAGAAAATTCCATGGCAAGACAAGTCTGCACTGGGCAACTTACCTCAATGCTGAAGTAACCTCTGTCCACATAGTCACCGAGAAACAGATATCGCGTTGTTGCGGGATTCCCACTGACCTCGAAAAGTTTCATCAGGTCGAAAAACTGACCATGAATGTCACCGCAAACTGTAGCAAGCGAAAAAGTATTTTTTTAACCCTAAGAGTACTGGTGAAACGGATAAGCAAGCACCTTACTATATTATGGTAAAGTTAAAGATAACTTTGTGTAATTCCAGAGTCAGGTTCACATGACCAAACGGCGGAGCTGATGAGCGCCGCATGCACAATTCATCAATCAAGGGGATGACATTACGAAACAGTACTCAACTGACCGACCATAAAACCTCCAAAAACTACTGACTAGTGATACCGCAGAAGACTCCAGAGGCCATTGCAAGAGGTAAGTTCCCAGTATGAACATTCCATAATCTGATTCCAAGG